TCACCGTGTCACACGCCCATTCCTTGCTTGGGACACCACCAGACGGACGCCGAGCCGGACACTTTAAACACCTTTTTTTCAACGGTCCCCTTAACGGACCTCACTTAATGCCACTTTTGCTTTTTTACCTTTGTGTCTCTCCCTCGATCCCTTTTCGTGCAGCTGTCATTATCGGCACTATGTACGTACAGATACGAATACTCCGTAGTCTGTACAGTCTTCGGATCCCCGCTGGCTCTCGCTCGGTCTCTCTCGCACACGCACACGTACGACCGTGACCACCGCCTCTCAAATCCTCGAGTCCACGTCAACCTTGACCTATCACGGTTCACTAGCATACCATCCAAAGCAAAAAGCAAGAGCAAGAGCAAAAGCTTCGAGATCGTCCGTCCACCCCCACCACGCGCATCTTCCTCCGGGCCACGTCCGGACCAGCTCCACAGATCCACCACCCAGTACCCACCAAAGCTCGCGTCTGTGACATTGCACCACGCTGCACAGCCCAGCTGGAGCAGACAACCCTGGGATCTCAAATCTCTCGTCAAGGTCTGGCCCATCTAGGTGATCAATTGCCGGCAACGTTCCAACAGGGGAGGAAAACGAAGGGGAACCGCATGGGAAAGGGGGACCACTTGTTGTTTCCCACACTTGCGCCGACTTTCTTACCTTTCGTGTACGGAGTACGAACGACTACCTTGCGCATCGCATCTCACGGCATCTCTCATCCCATCCCGGCCAGTTCCCATCTGATCCCGTCCCGCTAGCCCGCTTCAGCAACTGCGTCTGTTTCAACTGCTGTGCTGTCCTGCACGCTCGCTGCTGCTCAGCTTTAGCCTCGACCTTACTCGCCCTCCTCCTACTCCTGCGTCAGTTATCCTTCAACTTTGCATCTGGAGCTTTCCAACGGATAACGCAGCCCAGCCAGCTTCTCTACCACCTCGACGGGAAGATGTGAGACGCCCAACCCTCGGATCACCGCTCCCCCCTCCCTTGCAACTTTCAGTCCTTTTTTCGGTGAACGTGTACCATCCACGCACGCTTCGTCTTACCTTCGCTTCCACCTCTCCCTTGCCCTTCTTACTTTCTCTCTTCCCCTCTTCTTCCTTTAAACTGTCCTCAGGCCCATCGCTGCTGCACCTCTCCGTCCCTCCCAGATAGAGAAGCATGCCGGATCCATGGCGCCAATTACGGTCCTTCGTTTTCCTCAGCGATGAAGAGATGGGGAAGAAGGACGACGACCATCACCGCCCTGGCGGCAGCGCCATCAAGAACCCCATGCTGCTTCGAAACAGGAACCCCCAATGGCAGCCCGCCGCCAAGATGCCCTCCCGCCGCCTCTTCCGACGCATCGCCTACCTCCTCGTCATTGCCGCCGGCCTCTGGTACCTCTTGAGCGACCTCTCCCTCGGTTTCGGCCAACGGCCCCCGAACTACATCTACCCGTACCCCGAAGACGCTTCTCCGTCCCGCGATCCCTCCTCACGAAAGCCCGGCCGACTAGCTCAAGGTCAACCCATCCCGCCAGCCACGGAACACGACTACAATGGCCCCGTCAAGTTCCACCGGCTCGCCAACTCGCTGCACGCCATTGCTGCTACCAAGGGCAGCCAGCCCATCAACCAAAATGTCCTCTTCGCCGCCTCCAACTTGCGCAGCATATCGAGCTTGCTACCGTTCGCTTGTAAGATGGGCACTGAGCTGAGGAGCTACGTACACTTTGCCGTCATGAGCAGGAGCGACATCAACCTCGACGAGCTCAAGAAGATCAACGGCGTGGACGATACCTGCTACATCATCTGGCACGATGCCCGAGCCGACTTCTCCCCCCTCTCGACCGACGCTCGACTCGAACAATCCGCGGTCCGCGCGCTGCGACACATAAGCACATACATGCATCCTCAAGCTATCCTCATTGACGGTTCCGACGACGAATACGTCCCCTTCACGAAAGGAATGCGCGACGAGACGGGCAGGCTCAAGACCCCGCTGATTGAGCTTCCCGCTGGTGCCTGGACACATCTTTCATGGTTGTCGAAGCTTGACAGTGCTTCCCTGGCTGCGTGGAACCAGGTCAGCGTCGACATCCTGATCCAGGCCCCGGCGAGCGGGTCAGGCAGCCTGTTGCGGCTGCTCAAGTCTCTCAATGACGCCGATTTCACTGCCTTCTCGATCCCTCACCTCACCATCGAGCTACCGCAAGACATTGAACCTGCGACGGCCAAGTTCCTCGAGACGTTCCGCTGGCCGCCGCCACACGTGCATAACCCCGGGCGCGTGCAGATGCTCTCCCTAAGGCATAGAATCCCGAGACAGCGTATGACGGAGGAGGAGAGCTCCATACGATTCCTTGAGTCTTTCTGGCCAACAACGCCAAAGTACTCTCATATTCTAGTTCTTTCGCCACAGGCGGAGCTTGCGCCTGGTTTCTTCCATTGTAGGCATACTCCATGTCACAAGAACTAGAACATCTGATTAACGATTACCAGACCTCAAGTATACGGTGTTGGAGTACCGCTACTCTCGCCTGACCACCCTCCAGAAATGGGACCAACGTTTGCTCGGCATCAGCATGACCACGCCTTCCATGTACCTGAACGGCAAGAAGGACTTCATCGAGCCGACGGCAGAAGGCGCAAGCGATCTCGAACCCGGAACTTCCTACCTGTGGCAAGCTCCCAACAGCAACGCCGTTCTCTTCTTCGGTGACAGGTGGATCGAGCTACACGGCCTCGTATCGCAAGTCGACGCGCTACAACACGCGCGGGGTGCCGAGCCATCGCCGGCGCTGATTGCCGAAAAGCAGGTCAGCAAGATGTACCCCTCCTGGCTGGAACATATGCTGCGCCTGTCCCGGCTCAGGGGCTATTTCACGCTGTACCCCAGCGCGGAGACGGCAGCCACGATCGCGACAGTGCACCAGGAGCTCTACCAGGCTCCCGAGGAATACGAGAAGGAAGGTGGGGAGGGTAAGAGGACGGCGAGTCTCTCGGAATCGAGGTTTGGCTCCGGGTCCCTGGTCCAGACGATGGACACGCTGCCGAATAATGGTAGTCTCAAGCCCGCCAATGATCTTCCACTGCTCGGCTGGGAGGGCGAGGGAACAAACCTAAGGCACATCTATCAAATGGCGATAGAGTACATGTTCACATGGCGCGAGCAAGTCGGTGGCTGCAGCAAAGAAGAGTCTCAGCGGGACCACGTGGATGGGTCCGCGAGGGATCTATTTTGCACACCAGATGGTAAACTCAAGGCTTAATGGAGAATGAAGTGAGTGCGGAGCAAATCCCAAGGAGGGACAGCCTGCTGGTTAAGATGATTGAGAGAATCTTTTGCCAAGTGTATACTATATAGACCCTTTTCATATACCCACGGGATGGATGGAACATCAGCATGGACTGACACGGCGCGACGAAGACAAAGGCACAAAAAGGTGGGATACAAATAAGCGAAATGAGATTTTTTTGTTTGCAGCATATTCACTTCAAGACTGGTCCTGCGACGAAAGCTGCTGCTGCTGCTTCTGCGTTAGTTGATGAGTTCTTCTGTCCCTCTTGAGAGTTTGCTGAAATCTTTGTAATGACGAGTAAGACGACGCATGTTCCTACGATGCTGAGAGCCACCACGGCAAGGACCTAGGGAATTTGAGTCAGCATGAAGACAGCCTCATGATTTGGCATGAGAAAGAGGTGGGGAGATAATGAGAACTTACGAGCTGCGTCCTCCACCCGGTTTGCACGATGGCTGCTTTGCGACTATACTTGTTGACGGTTTCTTACACATCATCAGCCTTGTGCGCGTCTTGTTGGTTCCGCAGTGAAGAGGCGGAGCAGTGGAAAAAGGGGAGAGGGAGTGGAGGAGAAGAAGACTCACTAATGTAGTTACCGATCCCGAGACACAGACACGCGACGGCCAGGACCCAAAAGATGATGCCGAGGGGTTTGGCCATGCGCAGCTCGAGCTGGCTGGGTTCGGACTTCAGGTGGAAGGAGAGGACGATGGCGACAGCGACGATGGACATGTAGACTGAGAGGCGGAGGTAGCTTAGGAATGCTGTGTGGTGAGTTGGTGGGTGGTTAGTGAGTAGTTCAACTGATTTTGTCGTGATGTTTGAATCAAGCGCCGACGGGCCGACGGGCCGAAGGGAGTGAGAGGATGAGCGAGGGGACGATTGAGAGAGATATCAAAAGTACGAGTAAGAAGGCGAAGGGTGTTGGACATACTCCTCTCATTTGCACAGTGGTCGCGCGCATCGCTTGTTTCGTTTTGGAAGAGGAGGGGGCCGAAGATGGGCCAGGCGAGGAATGTTGATTTTCCTGCGTGGCCTGAGCCGCTGGTTGTGACGGTGTATGTTAGCTTTCAAAGAATCAATTTACAAGTGAGATCAACCTGAGCAGAGATTGAGAGGTGAGTAGGAGAGAGTGAGTGAGTATCGTACTTACCCAAGGTCGCCGACGTCAATTGGTCTCAAGAGCTCTGAGGGCCGGAGGGGCGCGCAGCAGTGGAAGGTTAGGTCTTCGTCGTCCATGTCAAGTCGCGAAGCCATGGTTATGGAAGATGACACTTGAATGAATTCAAACTGAATTGAATCGGTCGATAACGAATTGGAGGTCCTGCGCGTAAATGTGAAAGTGAATGAAGCTGTGAGTTTGAGGATTTGAGTGACGGGAACTTGGAAGTCTGGGCACGGCAGCTTTGGAAATGGCAACCGGATTTGATCACAAGCGCCATGTATGGTGTCATTTGAGCACTGTGTAATTTCTCATGAACTAAGGGGCCTTGCCAAGGATTTGGGGCCGGCGCGGACACTGTACGGCAACGGTCATCGGCGATCGGGCTCCACCTCGGCTCACCCGACTTACACTCTAGCCGACCTCGCCGGCGTTCCGTGGAACATCGTACTCATTAACAACAGTGAAACAAAGAATGATTTTCTTCCTGAGTACATATTAGACTACGACTTCCTATGCTGAAATGCGGGTTTTATGACCTTTCCCTCGCGGCTAAGTCTTCTTCACCTTGCACAAGGGCCTCTCCGGATCGTTCACCCAGTCACAATACGATATCCAGACCTGTACTGCTGCCAACACCGTCGCAAGAATACCGAAGATGGCTGCAACGATGAATGCGGCGAGAGCGCACTTGTACATGTGCCGAGGGGATTTTCTCTCATCTGCGTAGCGCTCCCACCTTGTTGTCGGGGTTGGGTCGTCGACCTCCTTCAGCAAACAGGCCAGCCGTGGGGCCCAGTGCGGGTACTCCGTGTACAATGCGTGAAGATCTTCTGGTGTCTCACACTTAGTTGATATATCAAGCAAATGGTCGCACGGCTCTAAGATGGCTGGATCAAGATTTTCCCGCTGCACCCATTTCTCCAATATCCGCCGGGATCGTCGGTCATTGAATGTGGGAAACAGAAGGTCGAGGGTTCTGAGTGTCTCCTCGAGGAGCTTCGGATGTAAACAGCCACTATATTAAAGTAATTGATGAGCAATATTTCTTCAAAAGGATTCTCAGAAATCAGGTCTCACAGGGATACAGCTTCCGAAAAAGAATGACTCAAATCCTTCCGATCGGCCTTCAAAGCTTCTATACTGTGCTCAAGGAATGTACGATGGTTGAATACCAACAATGTCTTGTATCCTACCCCTTGAATCAAACATAGGTGATCCGACATCGTATCGGCGGATCTAATCTCGATCCCGGCTTTCTTGGAAAGGATATGGGCGCTGAGATTCGTCGTACTTATTGGTTGTTCGGGTACTCCTCCAGCAAATACCTGTCGGTAAACTCGTCCGAGGAAAGCCACCAGTGACTGATCTTCCTTCCATTCGTGTGTATAGTAGCTGCCGAGTGCGGTGCTCTCAACCTGGCATGCAGTCATAAACATCAGTCGCACGGTACAGTCGAGAACCACTTCGATGCCTCCATGATCGATTAGAATTGACCTCTTCGTTGTCAATGGATCTGATTTGAACTGCTTGATTGCTCTCCGTACTTCTGCATCGTCGCATCTAGGTCTGCCAGATTGTAATCGATTTGCGTAATATTCTGAAAGCTTTACGCTTCGCGACCGATGCGTCGATGAAGCAGTCTCTCCAGCAAGATTTGCCCAGATGATGTTCGCAATGCCTTGGTCAGCCGATTCAGTCGAAGGATCCATTGCACGAATCTTCGGGATTAACATACACCAGCTTGAAACAGATCTTGAAAGAGAAACCTGATGTTTCGGTGGATGTTGCCAGACTTTAAACTGGCTGGTAAGGCTGTGCCGCTTGGAAATCCGACGGATGTGATCAGCCTGAGCACACCGAGTATTCTAATTGGTAATACTTGGAACACCGCCACTGCTCCTCCTTGCCAGCCATGAGGGGGTGCCAAGCAGTCAAATCAGCCCAACCTGCAAGTCAGCCTCGCCAGGTTGAGCGATCCAATTGTTCATATGACCACCCACGCCTGCCCCTTTCCTGCCTGCTTTCTGTATCCCAACAACACGATCTTCTGAAGTGGCATTGTCATGCTGCCATGATATCTCGGAGATACGCAATCATATCGATCATGGTAGATCTACTCCAGGGCACTCCGAAGTCCTCTCGGCCACGCGATTCTCGATATACCCTTGTCTGGCCAGTAAAAGTCGCAAGACGCTTTCCAGAGCTGGTTGAATTCATGAGATTGCTTAGAATACTTCAGCAATCACATGTTTCGCTGTCGATAGTACACAAACACAACGAAGACCTCGCGTTACTGGTCGCCATAACGATCACTGCTTGGGTTGGGTTCAAGCTTATTGCAAATGGCTATGGGTTCCAGAAGCAGACACACGAGATCGCCGACACCGTGTTTCTTGAGTTCTTGGGGAGAATTCTGCGATGTAGATGCAATCTGAATCCAGTAACGTCTTCCTGTGCGCCCAAACAAAAGGGGGAGTCGATTGCAAACGCAGTCACCAGTGATACAAAGGCGACATCGATGGTCACCAGGAGCCCTGGAAAGATCGACCGGGCACACCGTTCTGTGGGTTGCAATGAACAGTCCAAGTCGAAAGCACCTCTCAAGCCCGAAGAAGATACCGAACCGACAAACTGCCTAACCCACGTTGACATGGGTGTAGAAGGAGTGTCTGGGGAATCGCGGACTCAGTCACGCCAGCAGGAATCTTATATCACAATTCACCACGGGGAATCAGAGGAGCTACTTACAAACGAATTGCAAATCGCTACGAAGTTAGAAGGCCGCTTCAAGGTTGCTCTCTGGCGTCAAAGTTTGAGGTTGTTTAAACCCGACATTGTTTGGGCGAATCCCAATTTCGCTTTCACCAAAGAGGATCGATATATGTTGAGGGCCTTTGATTCAGGGCTGAAAACATGCACTGATATGGTCTATGCTCGCCTGGGATATCATTTTCCGCTGTTAAATCTCAGCTTGGTGTTGATTGAGTCTAACTCCCGAAAATTGAGTGCACGTATGCGCTCAGTGTCGATAACCGAAGCATACGTCTGCATTTCTGGCCTTGAGAGTCTAAACGATATTCGAACTTTTGACATATTCATCTCGAAGAACTGTTGCAAACATTCTTCCGGACCTTGGAAGCTGTGCTACGAGGAGAGTCAAATTAAACGCTCAGCTGGGCCTCGCTCATGCAATATCTTTCCTGCAACGACGAGGACACTGTGCGGTGGTCTAGTTACTTTTAGTGACGCAGATGGCTCAGAGAGAAAGTCTACCATCGGGGGAATGATTGAGGTCGATGGTCAGACGTTTGCTTTAACGACTAGTCATGGTCCCGAAGACGAAATCGCCGCAGGAGGTGACAATGATGCTCCGTCTTTGGCAGAGCTCATCAAAAGATTCGAAGATGGAGAACCTGAGAGCCCTAGTCTTTCTGAATCTTCGTCACCGACGATATTTCCAGTGTCACAAACGCTTCCAGAATTTGATGAAGCTCTTGACACTCCCACCGTTTTAAGACAGCAACATGTTCCCGCGGAAGACTCTAGCTGTGAGATTGTGGAGTCCTGGGACCCTCTTGAAGTCTGGGACGATTGGGAACTTGTTCTTGTTGAACCAGCACACCGGCGACCGAACTTGGTTCTGCAATCTGAACCACATGCTGACACGGAAAACACAAAGACAAGAGGAGAAGTTATCACCTTTGTAGACTTTGACATTGCGAGCTTCGATGGAGCCCTGCCTTGGTCTGTTTTGATCATTTCGGGTATGAGTGGCACTATAGAGGGTTTGCTATCCTCGAGTCCCTCATATACGCTCTTTGGAGGAAACAAGACCCAGGAGTTATGGAATGTTAGACTTCTTCAAGGCGGTACGTACCACGTCCCAGATCTCCCATATTGCAACGAATTGAATTCATGACCCAGCGTTATGCAGATCTTCAAGCAGGCGACTCCGGTTCCTGGGTCATTAGAGAGAGTGATCACTGCCTTCTGGGTATGGTGATAGCGCGATCCGCTGGCTCAGCTTACATGGTATCTTTTAAAAGGCTGCGACAAAGCATTGAGGAGGCCAAGGGGCTGGCACCAAACTCCATAAGACTACCAACTTTCTCGAGAGGAGGGGTTTTTTCGCGTTCTCATGCTTGTCCGCAACCAGCAAGCCAAGTCCCTACAGACCTTCCGCTGCATCGTCAACCTACTTTATTCACTCGTCTCACCAACGAAGGCGGCATGTTGGGATTGCATGTCCTTCATACTCTACTTGCATACGTTATGCTATGGTTGCGCTCGATGAGCAACATGATCAGTTTCAAGGAGGACCGGCTGATCCTAATCAGAGACAGCAGCGAAACCCAGGCCCGATTCAAAAGCAGCAGTCACGGCTCACAGCTAAATTCTTATACCACGACTCTCTCACCCGCTAACAGCTCTATCGTTCTCATATTTCGGTCTTGTATCGTGTTTGTTCTCTGGCTCTTTTCTTCCGTTATGGTTCCCGTGTCGGTTGTGGCCATCGTATGTTTTTATTACTCTCAAGTATTTGCCCTGGAAAGTAGCGAAGTTGCTATCGGATTCTACATTTGGCTTCACATGTATATGGTCGCCATCCTTGACACTCTGCTGCCTCTTCCAGCGGACGCCTACAAAGACCACTATCTCAGCCCGAGGCGGAATTTTGTCTGTCAAGTCGGAGCTTTCTTGATGTTTGAGATCTTATCATGCTCCTTATTTATCTACATCTTTGCGGTTGACATTGGCATGTGTGGCGATGCTAGCGAGGTTGATCGTAAGTCTTCTTTCACGTAGGCGCGGCCAATTATAGCTAACGTTGTGAAAGCGCGGTGCCTTCTCCATCCCCAGATGGAACGAGGCACCAGTCATTCTCGAGCACGAGCGACTTTCCTACCGGCAAGAGATCCCGACTTTTTTTCGATTTTAGCCTTTCCTAATTTTGGCAACTTCGTAGCCTTTATGTGGATGTTCATGGTAGTCTTGTCGTGCTACTCCCCGGTTGCAGCCAAGCGGCCCAGAGATAAGTCACTTAACCATGAAGGATGCAAGAAAACATCTCAGACTGTTGGCGACAGTCCAGAGCATAAACCTCTATATAAATTTCTCATCCTTAACATCTCTCAAACACGCGATACAAGCCCTTCAGATCAGCAACCTCTAACACAGCAGCCTTCATCAATGACGTAGTCGCAACCAACCTCGCTTTGAAGGCAGGGAAGAACACATGCTCAATCGCGAAACGCACGTTTCTCCGCCGCTCCGCAAGCTGGTCATCGACCTTGGCCTCCTCCTCGTTCTCGTCAGCCTCCCCGCCAACCGTCGGCGGCAACTGCTCAGGCACATAGAAAGACGCCAGCTCTTTCAAAAAAGAATCAAAACACAGCTTCTCATCCTCCCAGTTGACACAGGGTCCGAGACGCAGGAGGAAACGAGGCAACTTGACCATGGCGGGCGTGTAGCCCTTGATCAGGAGGGGGATGGTGAGCAGCTCGCCCGCAGGGGAGACTTCGAGGGAGAAGTACTCGGTGAGCATCTCACGCCGCTCAATAAGCTGGGCTGCTACCTTATCGACAACGTCCTCAATCTCAAAGTCCTCCTCGGGAGACTCGATATTCGCCTTCTCTACCTCAGCGCCGATGCGGAGGATCTCTCGCAGGTCCGGGGGCGGCGTGAAGCGGATGGTGCCAAAGTTGCCAAAATCCGTCAGCCCGACTTGATAGCAGTACTCGTAACAGGTCCGACCGTAGTCAATAAGATACATCTTGACACCGCCCTGAATAGCGGCCAATCGACGGCGTTCGTCGACGACGCCGACAAATGTGTGATTCGCAAAGATTTCTGTGAGGTCGTTGTGCATGTCTTCCCTTACCTCGGCCCGGAGCTCCTTGACGCTAGTAAGCCTCATTGGCGCGAAGGGCCTATCGACCGTTTCGTACTGGATACGCTCCGAGGCAGACAAGGCATTTTCGTCAGCCGCCCCGGCTGCGGCCGCAGCAAGCCCGGGGGATGCCTTGGAGGGCGTAGCAGCTGTGGCTGAGGGCAGCATGCTGGTGATTTTCCGCAAGCTCGTATCGGTACGGACGAGGTTGTTAGAGTTCCTCCGTGGTCTTTTCGAGCCTGGGGTTTCTCTTGCCGGCGTCGCTGGGGTTCCCTCGCTCTCGGCCTGAGGGGATATCTCCATCATCTGGCCCCCCGGGAGCAAGCTCTGTGTCATGAATGTGCGACTTGTGTCCACCTCTGCCAGCTTAGAGCGTATGTGCTCGCATATTGACTGGATGACGTCATCTTCGTTCAGGAAATGCACTTCTTGCTTCGTGGGATGGACGTTGACGTCGACTCGGGCAGGGTCGATCTCGAGGCTGAGGTAGATGAATGGCCGACCGCCCTTGGGTAAGAATGAGGCGTACAGCTGCTCAAGTGCCTTTCTTATGGTGGTTGACTCTACACAACGGTGATTGATGAATAGGAGAAAGGTAGTCTTTTTTATGTTGTAGTTGGCGTTCGTAGCCCATCCAGTAGCCTTGAAGCCCCAACGGTCTTCTGAGGTTGAGAACTGCATTAACTCGTTGGCGACACTTGAGCCGTATATCTGCCGTATTCGGTCGATTTCGCTTGCTGTGGCTTGGATGGATACACTGGTACCCGATTCGCCGTGCTTCTTGCAGGAGAAGCCCACTCCCTTACAATGGATGGCGTAACGTCCAACAATGTCAATGATCTTATTGTACTCCTCAGCAGGCGACCTAAATGCTCTTCGACGTGTCGGTATGTTATAGAACATGTCTTCGACGCTGATCTGCGTACCCTGGCGGCCAGCAGTGGGCTTGGGCTCAGCCGACTGACCGGGCTTTGCAGGAGCCAGCTTCCCATCGAGGTATGTGGCACGCCATGCGCAATTCGAGTCTTTGGTCTTGGTAGTCACGGAAAGATGGGCGATGTGACTGATACTTGCTAGGGCTTCGCCTCTGAAGCCATACGTGGCAATGGAGGTGAGGTCCTCGAAGGCGGTGATCTTAGAAGTCGTATGACGCTCGCAGAGAATCTCCATGTCTTCTCTCTTGAGCAGAGTCAGAACGGATAGGTAGATCTACGAAGAGGACGCATGTCATGTCATACCTGAATACCGCATCCATTGTCGGTGATTTGCAGGAGTTTGAGGCCACCCTCCTTGACCAGTACCTCGAGAGCGGTGGCACCTGCGTCAACGGAGTTCTCGATCAATTCTTTCAGGGCATTGACAGGGGCAACAATGATCTCTCCGGCGGCGATTTTATTGACTACATTCTGATCGAGGGCCTGCATACGCCTGTCAGAAGTGTAGCACGCCGAGTAAGCGGCAAATGCAACTCACGCGAATTCGACGAGGCCCTTGAGAGTCTTCCAGGTCATCCTCCGCCTTCCGCTTCGTGCCAGCAGAAGGAGCGGAATCGACTTCCATGGGGTCAGCCATGGCCGTCTGAGGTTCGAGAAGGCTCAATGTTGCTAGTAGCTGTTGCGGGGCAGTGTAACACCAGTAAGGCGAGGCAGGCAGGCAGCTCAGTAGCGGTACATCTTCGCCAACAGCTTCATTCAGTTGGCTTGGGATATAGTGTGTATGTACGAATTGGCAAGGTTGTCGAATGGAGGGGAGAAAATGCCAGCTGCCGGCGAGGATGGAGTCGCGACTACCGCCACGGATTCCCAGAGTTTGGCGCGTCTTCACGTGAGCAGCTGTTTAGTCAGCCAAAACCACTTTATGGAAGGTGCTTGCCTTGGAACCACGAACCTTCCTCGGGCACCTCAGCTACCCGGGTACGTATCGAAGTCGCCGTTCTTACCCATCGCATCCCACAACCTAAGTTACCTTAATGAGCCCACACCCATCTGCACATTACTTCAACAACCTATCAACCTCCCACCCGGGTTGCTGCAACAATACACATCCTTGACAATGCCTCTAGCCCCTAATACAATTTACGGTTGCAGTTCTCGGACCCATGTCGTCTTCACCGTTATCCGACCAATTTGCGCCTGTCACAATTCTGCACAACACAGCACTCGGATCGACATTTCTGACGCTGGCACGAAACCCATCCAGATGTGATGACGCTAGAGTACCATCGAATTCGCAAGACTGGGACACCAAAAGATCATTTCTGATCGATCTTCGAAGTCGTGCTTTAGTTTCCAAAGGTTCCGGGCTCCGATCCTGGGTGTATCCGTCAACTCTGCGAGTATAGATCACCGGTGATCAAACCAGGGACTGTCGATGTAGTCCATCGATCAGATTCACCGAGAACAGCGTTGACAGTCCTGGTGTGGAGGCTGTGGCGGTGTTCGACACCGAAAGTCTCCAATGTTCAAGAGAGTGCCACCTACCAAGCTCAGCCATCAGGCACAAACAAAATCGCGATGGTATCCATTCTACTTGGCCGAAAACGCCTAGGACGTCTGTCAACAAAATCTGCTTCGCAGAAGCTTCGCAGAACCCCCTGAAGATGTTCATTCCTCGAAGGGTGACTCAGACAGCGGCACACTCCGAGACATGCCCTGACCTCTGCCCAACATAAACGCCTTTGTTGTTTGCTGGAGATATTTCCAATGGGATAGAGAAGAACAGACAGTTGCAATCTCTTGCACGTTCATCCAAAGCTGCGGATACCGAAAGTTTGGCCTCATCATCGTGAAATTTGGCGAGGCACCCCAAACCACGGCTTCTCACATGAAGTTGACATACAGGGCTTCTCGCGCACAAACCGGCAACATTTACACCATTTACAACCGGCCGGCACATGGCCATCGTTTGAGAACCGTGCACTTTTTCAGAAACTGACCAAAATATAACGACAAGCATCCGAACTGCCCGCACCAGCGTCGGCCGCCAGGCCATCTTTGCAAAGATTGCTGTCCCCTCTTTTTGGACCATTGTCAGTCTAACACTAACCAACTCCACGTACTCCGTACACTCCCAGCGGCGCCTGCCATGTGCAAAGACGAGCCAGCAGAAAGCACCGCAGGTGACGGCGTGGCCTCGACACGCGCCCATCTCTCGAGTGCGAGGTAAGTTGGCCCTCCCCCTGGTCCTTACCAGGCCCACCGCTGCCACTACGTGCATGGTTGTAGTGTCACGTCTGACAGCGGGTCCAGCGGATGGAGCTCAAGACTACCTTCACCAGATCCTATCATTTCGGACCCAACCATGACACCCGGCCGGCGTATCCCCCGAAGTCCTCTTGCTCCTCTGTCCCACGCGGAGAGCTTGATGGACATGCAAATTCCTCAACCCTCGGGGTCACTTCAGGTCGGCAGGAAACGGGACATTGATGAGGTTTTCGACGACAGCACACCACCTTCGCCCGATAAGCTGCAACGCGAGCTCGATCAGCAGCACGATGAGGCCAAGGAGGAGGAGGCTATGAACACCAGTCGCAACTTGACAACGAGTACACTCATGCCCCTTGACACTCAATTGCAAGCTCATGAGCCAGACAGCAAGCGGCGCAAGACACTCGCCTACCGAGTCAAGCCTCCTACTCGCAGTACTAGTTTGCACCACGGGCATGGCTCCGAGCATGGCCTCGCGGATGACAGCGGCCGCCAAAACACGGTCGAACGACAAGCCAGCCGCAAATCAAACTCTCCAAAAAACGGTTGAGAAGCGGGCGTTTGTTGCCGCCACCATTGAAGCATCAGCCTGTCCCATGATGCCATCCATGCAGGAACAGGACGGCCTACCGCCCAACGTCCACCGGCAACGCAGCATCGCCCCTCTTCTTATCAGAGTCTAGTATCCGTAGGGCCTCTCGGTAGACCTAGGACCCCAGCACCTCGCGTGGTTCGGATACTTGACGGTCGTCCTACAGTATCTTACGGAATGCTTTTCGTCCTCAGCAGACGGCAACAAACCCCGATTACAGAGGCTCACTAGCAACACGGCAGTGGAGAGAAACCCTCCTCATCTCTTGATCTCGACAGCGAGCATTGCGAAGACGTCTGGCAGCTGTCGACCGGTGTTGATAGTGCGACTAGCTTTCCCACGTTGTGGTTTAGCGGCCGGCACTGCCACTATCCGGCGCCCCTCCCTCATTTCCTCCCCCCAACTCCTCCAAGCAAACGTGCGCCCATAGGACCTGGCTGCCATGCGAGGCCCGTTTCGAAACAACCTTAACCGTATGCGCCTTTCCCGTTTGCGCTGCAAACGACAACTGCTCAGGGTGCCCAAGAGTCCATTTCAGGAACCTTCGCCTCCCCCTCGCGACCCTTTCGCGGTCTAGCGCGCTGGGGACGTCAAGAACGTAGAGGGCCGAATCCAGTGAGAATCATGAAGATCCTTCGGCAGCGCCTCTTTTGTTTCAGGTCGACGCTCTCAAGATGGTTTCCTTTTCGCATCGGAATTTGCTTCTTCTCCTCGTCCACATCCTTTCGCCGTTCTTTTCAAACTCTGAAGAGTCACTCGAGCGGCACAATTCAACGCCTCGTGTTTGCACTTGACGGCGTCTTCTCCCTTCCCGGAATAGCAAATAGACAATTACAAACCCCTGCCGCGTCTTGCCGCTTTCAGCTGTTCGCATCCACTACAGTTCCCAATATGTCCATCAGCGTTTCAACTTTGGGTGGTGGTCTCTGTCGCTTGGACGAATGCGAACATGTGGTGGTGTCCTCTCCCGCCGGTAACCCAAAGGTCTCAATTCTCAACCATTAGGAATACTGCCTCGTTTCTTTTCGCCAGCAAAGCACACCAATTCAAAAGCTTCTCGCATCCCTCAATCTCCTTGGATCCCGCTGATCAGCTGAATGGTCAAGGGTGCTGTCCGTGGTTTTCAATATTGGACAAGTATACCCACCCAAAGATGCACAATGACCGAATGAAAAACTCTTTTGGGCCACCAACAATCTGCCCGGCTCCGTCTCGGAGATTTTTCTCAACCGTAACGAGCAACCTCCAGTGCATCCCCCTGCACCTCTTCATCCCATTCCCCTGGCTGGTGCCTCGGTGGTTGGATCCACTGCAGGCCTGTTTTGTTTCGTTTCGTTTCCTCGCTCGTTTCCCTGTCCCTCCTTTCGGTTGGGCCTCTGGGGTAAAATAAAGGGACGCACGAACGACTTTTGACTACGCAGGAAGAAAGACAAAAAGAGAGGAATCCCCGGGGGGGGGGGGGGGGCGGACAGAAGACGACGGTCAACTCAAGATCCCCCTGAGCATCGCATCCTTTTTCTCTCACCTCATCTCTCGAGTCCCGCTCAGTCTGTTACTCTCTTACTTTGTTGGGGGATGCTGCCCACATTACGGCACACGGCTAAAGAAAAGATCTGCGGCAACGTTGGCGATGAAGAAACGGACATACATGTCCATCATCTGACGGCATAAAGGCAGCTCGCACTCTAGATCGAGTAGGCCAACGCTGCCACAGAAGCACAAAACCAAACACAAACCTCGAGCCAACGCCGAAGAAAGAAAAAGGACATGCAGCACAAGGAGAGACACAGAGATGTCAGAGACTATGGCTCGAGCCAATGGCAACACCAATCCATCCCGAACGTCCAAACAAGAACCATGGACCTCCCGAGGAAAACTCCCGATAATCCCTCCCCCCTCCACCATCCTTCTCTTCTTCCCTCCCAGTCTCCCACTCTCTTTCATCCTTGGCCCCATCTCATATCGCACACTCTCGCTTCTCATCACCTAAGACCATGGATTATATGCAATGGTTCATCGGCAAGAGAGGGGAAAATGGGACCCAAAACCAGACCGAGCGATTATCATTCATCCTCAACCAATGCTTCAAGCGGGCGGCAGCACCAATCCAATACCAGGGCCGGACTATACCTTCCAATGCGGATGCAACTAGGAGCCACGCGAAATGACACACACTTCCGCCTGCACCACTTGCATTGGACACAAGAGACGCAAGAAAGCAACGCAACGCAACGCACGCAGATCGGTTCATTAGGAAGCACGCATCCGCATCCGCATACGCATCCGCATCCGCCGGTCGTGGGCGCCTGAATAGGCACAGACGAGCTTTTGCAAAAGTCGCAGATTTGACTTGCGCCGCAGTGGACTGCAGAGAAGGGAGGGCAAGGCAGGGGTAGCCAAAGGGGGAAACGAAACGTTGGATGGGGGGCTCAAGTGAGTGACCAATCCTTTTCCATTGCAGTCTTATGAACCAAGGTGGTTTAAATTATCTACGGGCCTGTTGTTGCAGTGGCAGCCGAACCTCGTTCTTTGCTCTGGCCTCTATTTTCTCCAGTTCTCTCTTTTACAACAACCGCCTCTCTCTTTCTTTCTTGTCCACCCCCCTTTCCCTTCCTACTTCTCTTTCCTCTTTTCACCTTCAGCCGGGATCTCGCAATGTTTCGCTCTCCCGAGCATCTCGTTCCTATGTCACCTTACCGGTGCACGCTACGCCTCCACCACACTCCCGCAACATGAAGCATGGAACACCCCTCCATCAATGCTCCATGGCCATGGCTACGATAAACAGGTCCACGGGTCGACCTGCCAAAATTGCGGCAGATGCTCTCCCGCACTGACCCCTTCCCGATGGTCTCCGCAATTCCCGGACCTGAGTAATGGGGCAACTCTCCTGTCAAAAGTCTGCGGCCTCGCCCTTCCCCCGCTCGTTTGCCCATATTCTTCTTCAAGTAATAGAAGCAAACAAAGAGTCGTCTTGCCACGTCTTGAGTTGTTCGTCGAAGTATCGTTGGCTTCAGCCTGTTGTCGACATCGGACTTTTCGAAACTCTGGATTCGGTACTCATCATCATCCTAGACGCCATCGTCACCACGTCGGATATAACCCACCATCACAAGAGTCCGAGTTAGACGACGACGACAAAAACAACGCTGGGGCACTTCAGCAGCAAGGCAACGTGAACGGAGCAACGCGGTAGTTGGCAAGGAATCGCCGGGTGGGCCTTCTTTTCTTTAAGGGATATAACAAGAAAACGGTATCTGGGGACCCAGACAGCAACAAAGACACGCATATGACCGCCCCACGGCTCTTCTCATTCCGCCGCCAATCTCTTTGGAGACGACGGGCCATATTCCCACACTCTCCAACATCATTTAGCATTGGATTGGATGCAACAACAGACGCAACCAGCCCAGCCCAGGGAATCGAAGCCAAAGAGAAAAACGCCCAAACGGATGCCAAAATGCCCCAATTGGAAGCAGGGGGAAAACAGTATGTGCAGGGGGTGGAGCAAAAAGCAAGAAAAAAGTTGGTGGTTATACAAGTGGTATCTCGTGATGGCTCGTGGCCACCGGAAAAACAACAACGATGGACCCGAAGGCGGACATGGAAACGAAGGGAACTCGGTACAAATACAAGAGGCGAACGACGCGGAGACCGCCCACCTCAACACACGGTCAAAAATGTCAACGGACCAGGGATTCGGTCTCGAATGCAGCCTCTATCGTTACTGGGCAGGAGACGTACACCGAGCCGGGTGAAGGGAATTATTATCGACCACAACCGCTAGGGCGGCAGGAAGTCATTACTCATTGCGGACGTCGTTGCTGCGGGTCCGGCTTCTCGAGAAGGCCACCAATATCGACCCGTCCGGATCGTTCGTCCCTTTGCCAGGAAGATGACTCTGGTTGGGGAGGTTGATGGGGGCCAGCTCGGATCGGAGGCAACTGGAAAGATGGCTGCGGCGGCCGAGTGGTCGGCGGCAGCTCACTGCGAGGGATCTGGTATGACGAGGGTCCGCTGGCGTACTCGGGACGGCTGGGTGAGGCCGCATATGACGGCATGCCAGGACTGACACCGGGGCTTAGACCAGAAGCCAT